TCCTTATGTAGGACTTCTAGTTCTCACTTTCACCCAAGTACCCACCAGCAGGAACATGAGGGTCCTGGCCACTAAGGCCTTTTCCCTGAAACCCCTTCTGACACCTACAGTGTGAATCTGCTGAACATCAATACATTCTCTTAAACTACTTGTTCAACAGCTCAATTCTGACATTGAAGCCAGAATTAGGCAGGCAATGTAGATAGGTAAATCAGGTGGGGTCAAGGTATCCAATTTTAAGTTAGTCTGAGAGGTTGGAGACTGTCCCCTGAGGGATCTTATCTAGAACCTGCCCCTACTCCAACCTGTTGCCTAGGTAACTGATAGACCCAACCTGATCTTTTCTTAAAATTGGGCATCTCGCCACAAAGCCATGAAAAGATAATTTCGGCTTTACTATAAATTACTGCAAATTCTGAACCTGCTTGGAATGCCTGCCCATGCCTTGAACTCACCCATGCCTGGCTCTCTGACCAGACAGCAGCCCTCTCTGAAACTTTAGTGACGCCTCACAAATCTTGGCCTTCCCTGGCCAGACAATGACCCTCTCTGAGGCTCTAATGGTCCTCATAAATTCTGATGTTGGGGCCAGCAAAAAAATGTAAACTACCATTAGTGTGATGCTTGTCAGAGTTCTGTTACCTGTAACCCCCCTTTGTGTAACTTTCTGGGCTATAAAGCTGGGCTGCAGGAAAGCTGGGGTGCTGTCTTCTTCCCACCATTTTGGGAGGGAGAGACAGCCTGGCCGGTGGAAATAATAAGCTTGCTTTAATTTGATTTTAATTGGAGTCAGTGGTCTTTTCTTGCGTCCTGGTCTAACAGTAACCTGTCCCAGGAATTTCCCCTCCCAACAGGGAGCTATAAGGTTGTTAATGTGTCCTTGTCTACTCCACCCTGCCCTTCCCCTTTAAGCCCACCAGTTTCTCAACTTTTGGCCCTCTCAGGGAGCATTCCTGGGCCTAGTCCAGTCCTCAGCAAGATTGGGGGGTGGGGGAGGAGGCAGGAAAACAAAGGACTCTCAATACCTCCTCCTCAAGTTCAATGATTTGATTTTAGCAAAGCATGTCACTTATGTTTACTATAAAGGATACAATTTAGGATTGGCCAAAATGAAAAAAGATATATAAGAAAAAGAAAGTGCCAAAGGGAATCTGGGAAAGATCTATGAATGAAGAAACCCCCTTCTCTGCTTTCTGCTAGAGCAATTCCTGCAGAGACCCCCTTCTCATTATCACTTAGAGGTCACTTTTTTAACCCATGGCAGTCACACCCTGATCCTAAAAATACCTCCCCTCTTTGTTCCCTCCTAAGCAATGAGCTGCAGTTTTCTCTTCAGCTTCCTAACCCTGTTTGCCCCTCCCTAGGAAAGCAGCCCTTTTCTGCAGGAGCTGTGGGTGCTTGCAGAGCTCACCTGTGGTTCTCCACTCTCCTGCAGTGCTCCTTAGAATAAGTGCTTCTCACCCAAATCTGTTTTTGTTTCATTGTACCCTCTGGGAACAGCCTTGGACAACATGCACCCTCAGAAAGGGAATCCCCTTAGCATTCCCATCCCTCCCCATATCTGCCTGAGGACCCCCAGCTTTCCAGAGTTCTGTAGCTTCTCAGTCTAAAGGGCTCATTCCAAGGTTAGTGTGAGCAGCCTGGGGCTCTGCAGGGGAGGCTGCCCAGAGAGCTCTGACTGGACCTTCAGTGACTTCCTTTTGCAGGACCAATTCTGGCCTTGGATTACAGTCACAAGGATCAAGGATCTCTGCTTCTCAGTCATGTTTTCAATTCATGTTTAAAGAACCCAGAAAAATCACTCAAACTCAAGTGTTTATGTTTAAGGAGGAAAAACTTTAAGACACACTTCAACAGGAAAGTCAAACTTATTCCCTATCAGACAATAAACATGTTATTTAATTAGTATTTCCAAGATAACATATTTGGTATTCACTTCATCACAGGTGACTACTATTAGGAATTGCCTAGTTTTGGTAAATACAGTTCACAGGGTACAGAACAGACCCATCCACTGCCAAACCCCTGCAAACTACAGGAGCTGATGTTTTGGTGAATCTTTCTAATGAAACTGAAGCCAGATTTAAAGATAGGTAGTTAGTGTAGTTAGGTAAATTGGGTCTAACGGGTCTAACATTGAGTAAAATCGAAAGTAAAGGCCATGTTGAGAATGAAGTCCAGGAAAGCAGAGCACCACTTGGGAAATTGAAATGTTAATGTTCCCAAGGACCAAAGCCCAACCCAAGGAAATGTTAATGAAGTAGCTCCTAGCAAACAGGGAGATGCTCATCCAAAAGTCCTTCCTATCCAGATTACACCTTTGGCCCACCTGTCCCCATCCTTTGGGCCTTCCCACCTACATTCCATCACTGAAAGATAACAGAACAAAGGACAGGAATGAGGGAAAGCTGAAAGAAGACCTCAGCTATAAAAAGGGGAAGACATTGCCCTTCCACAGATTCCAGTCTTGGGTCCCCTTCTTCCTCCAGGGAGAAGTCTTTTCTGCTGTCCTTAATAAAGCTTCTACTTTCCACTCTAAACTTGCCTCGGCATGCTTCTCTGGTGTTATATTTCAGCACTGGGGAAGCAAGGACTGGCTTTACTCTCTGCAACCACACTGGAACAAGATTGTATTTCTTTTCCCAGGTGGCATTCCCAAAGCAAAGTCCTGGAATTCTGTTTTAACCCACCCCCCAAGCCCCAAAGAACATATCCGAGAAGCATAGTGAGTACTCTCACCCTGGGGGAGGAAAAGATACATAAGAATTTTTAACTAGTAAGATGTGGTAGTACAGGCCTCTAATCCCAGTGACTCCGGAGGATGACACAGGAGAAACACGAGTTCAAATCCAGCCTCAGGGACTGAGCAAGACCCTCAGCAACTAATGAGTAAGGTTGAATCTTTGTAATAATGAAACGAACTTATCCACCAAAATTTCTTCTAGGACTGAGTCACACTGAAATAGATTTCCTGGGGCTGGGATTGTGGCTCAGTGTAGAGCACTTGACTAGCATGTGTGAGGCCCTGGGTTTGAGTCTCAGCACCACATATAAATAAAGATCCATTTACAACTAAAATTTAAAAAAAAAAAAAAGAAAGAAAGAAATACAGATTTCCACCATTTCTATTCCCAGATAGCATTCCCAGAAAAAGCCCTGGAATTCTATATTAAATTACCAACTCCACCCCCACCCCCACCAAATTAAATTAAAAAAAAAAAGAATTATTCTAAGAAACTCAGTAAACTCACTCTGGGGAAGCAAAACAGTACATAAGAATCTTTAAATAATGAAATATAAGACCAAATGTTTCCTTTTTTTTAAAATCTGTTTTTTTACCCTGACTTATAATTCTATCTTGTCCTTTAGTAATCTCTAATCTTCCAGCTCTAGCATTAAATTACATTTTACAACTAATGAAAAACTGAAGTTAAGTAAGTGAGCAAGTCTTTCCAAGGCAACAAACCCAGGGAGCTGCAGCACCACTGGACAATGACCTGTCAGACCTCAGCTTGGTCAGGCATCTGTCACCAGGCACATCCTCCCACCCCCTCCTGCTGCTGAGGAGCTTGGCAGGGCTTTGCTCCACCTTGCTGGGGTCAGATTTCCCTGCTCTTAGGGATAACTGTTCTTCTTTCACAGCTCTGAGCACATCTAGAGGGCAGGAACCATGTGTGTCATGTTCCCCCAACACCAGCATCTCACTGCCTGACCCCGGTGTCTCCAGTTGCTCCCCTGGGAGGCTGCTCCCCACACCTCAGGTTGCCCTCTAGGAGGAGCTGACCCAGAGTCTGAAACTGCCTGCACCCTGAAGGGCACAGGGAAGCTGTGGGCACCTAGTTGCAGCCCCACCAAAGGACAGGACAGTGGCTGAGGACACAGGATCCTGTGTAATGGCCAATAACACCTCTGCCCAGAGAGACTGTGTCTGTGCCTAGGCATGATGACGAGAGGCATAAGTACTTTTTAAACTCAAGTTCCAGGTCATTCCTGTCTGCTTTCCAGTCATGGGAAATGTTTGCCCACCTTTCAAAAAAAAAAATTATTTAAAATTTAAATTATCCATTGTTGTGAAACTTTTGATAATTAAAACACTGTCTATTTGAATGTAGACTGGAACAAATGGTTGGTAAAGTGTGAACTGGAGGGTGCAGTTGGCATCTGGGAATGCGAGAGGGAACTGGAATTTCAGGTGTCTGCTGCCAGCCTTAGGAGGAGCCAGGTTCCAGAATGGAAAATGGATTTGATACCGTTCCCTGCACATTTAGGAGTATGTGTCTGTAGGACTCACAGATTAATCCTGGGGAGAAAAGAGGGACAGACTGGAACCCCTCAGGCCAAATGTCACAGTCAGAACACACCTGGGTCCAGAACCCAGACCCTTCCCTTCTCACCACACACTCTGGGAGCATCAGGCCACATAAGCTGCACAGATCTGAACCTGGGACGTCGCCAACAGGGAGAAGAAAAAGAGGACAGGGACCTGCTAACCCAGCTAACCCATGGGACAGAGGTCAGGGAGACCGCCCAAGCTGAGACTAGGTCGAACGCTCTGCAGCTGATCTCGGGGACCCGCGGCCCATCCGACCCCACAGACCCCGCGGACAGGGGTCAGGGCCCAGGGCCACCCGCCAGCGCGGACAATGACATCCTCCGCAGCGAACCACGGGGACTCGCTCTCAGTCCGTCCCGAGGGACCAAGGGTCTGGAGACCAGGGCCAGCCGAGGGGGGCTCATTAACACGCTCTGCAGCTGACCGGGAACCCTCCTCCCAGCCTACCCTGCGGGACCAGGGGACAGGCCCCAGGGCCACCCGCCGGCCGGGACTCGGTAACACAGTGTGCAGCTGATCAGGGGACCCGCCTCCCAGCCTAACCTGCGGGACCAGGGGACAGGCCCCAGGGCCGCCCACCGGCCGGGATTCGGCCCGCTCCGTCGCTCACCCGCACGCCAGGTCCCGCCATTCCTGTGCCCCTGGAGGTCCCTGGCCGCACACTCACCATTTGGGCCTCCGGGGTCACCTGCCGTCCTCACGAAGGAACTTCGGCCACCCGAGCTCGTGGGGCTCTCTGGCTGCGACGGGAATCCGTACCCAAGACATGCGACCTGAGGAGGAAGGAGCGGAGCCTGGCGGCCGAGCGAGGAAAGCGCGAGACTGCGGAAGCCCGCCCTTGCCCCGGCTGCGCGCCTGATTGGAAAGCGCCGCCCTGAGGAACAGCCTCCAGGCCCCGCCCTCGCCTGAGGGACAGCTAACGTAACCAATCCCTGATGAAATAGGCCCAGCCCTTTTGAGGCAGCACCTCCTCCCGGGCTGGGGCCTGACCCCGCGGGTAACGCCTGTGCGCACCCGGTGCAGCCCGCGGGGTCTGAACAAGACCCACGGGGACGGCGGTGTGTAGAATTCGGTGCTGTGCACACGGGAGCCACGGAGGAGCGTGTTAAGACCTTAAGTCACATGACCTTCCTGCCCTGGGTTCAGGGTGGGACTGAGCCCTGGAAAGGAGGCCCGTTCAACTGAAATGAAGTGCTCAGTAAGTACCTTTGACTTTTCTGAAGGCCACGTGAAAACGTTCAAAGGAACAGGTGAAACTACCCGGCACAGCTCAGCCATACAGTGCTTTTCTGGCAAATCGAAGCCCTGGGTTCCAGCCCAGCAAAAACAAGATAATTCAGAAAACAAGAGAGAAAGTCACAGGTGAGGTTGGTTGTGATGTCTTTAAAGCAGTATATGTAAAATGTCATTGATGAACTATGCAAACAGTACAATGAGGTGTTGCTACTAATAACATGTCTTTATGGTGCTACTCATTAGGACAGGGCTCAAAGAAATCTCTGGAGACAGAATCCCACTCTCAAAATGCAAAGTTTATTGACAAGAATAACTTGCCCGTCTGTCCAGTAGAGTGGCACAACATAACACATTTATTTGAATAGGGTTTTTGTAACTTTTTAACAAGGAGAAAGAGCAAGCTAGAAATGACTTTGGGTGCGGGTGGCTGGGTAATAACAGATTTTTGTATTTAGGGACCTTTGGGGGGGGGGCGTTATGGGAACAGGGCATTTTAAGTTTCTTTTTCTTGGCATCTTATGTTATGGGAACAGGGAATCTTAAGTTTTTTTCTTGGTAGTTCTGAGGCTCAGAACCAAAATGAGTTACAACTGTCCAGGGGTCTAACACTTCAGCCTTTTATTTTATAATGATAAAGGGTATCATTCCTCCTGGCTTATTTGAGCTCAATAGGGGCAAAGAATGGTTTAGGACAGATCTTCAGGGGAGGGGCTATATTGGCTCATAAGGAGCTAGTTTATAGTCTGATTAGTGAGTGCCTTTACTGGATCTTGTAGAAATTTCTTTAGGCACCTATTTAGATAAGATCCTACGCTGAGAGCTCCATGATTATGTAAGGAGGAGGTCCTTCAATGGGAGTAGCCAGGGAAGAGATTCCAGGGTAAAGGCTGCTGCTGCTCCTGCTGGAACATCTGGATGCTCTCCTGGAGCTCTAACAGCATTCCTCTCCTAAAAAAGACACAGTGCCTCCCTTCTTTGCCAATATTAGACCAATGGCTCTCCTGTGTCTGATGTGTGGTGTTATGGGAATGGGTAGACTTTCTGGGTTTAAGTGTCAGTTTAAGAAGTAAGGAAAATTAAGGTATGCAAGCCAGTTTATGAGACTCGCAAAGGATGAAAACCTCAGAAGTTAGGGGATTCAGGGTTGTGGGACAAACATAAATATGCATTCTAAGTTTTTTTTCTCTTTTAAATTTTATTTATTTATTTTAGTTGTTGATGGACCTTTATTTTTTATTTATATGCAGTGCTGAGAATTGAAACCAGTGTCTCTTATATTTGAGGCAAACACTCTACCACTGAGCCACAGCCTCAGCCCCATTCTAAGTTTTATTTAAAATAATTATTGTTTTTCCTCTAAAATGTCCATATGTGGCTGTGTTTGGGTTATACTGTCCTGCCAAGTGTTTAAGATCAAGTTAGTCAAAAATTGACCTGGTTCCTATCTGTTTGTTAAGAGTGAACTGAAGGTCTGGGGGCATAGTTCAGTTGATAGAGTGGTTGCCTCACAAGCACTAGACCCTGGGTTCAATCCCCAGCAAAACACACACACACACAAAGAGCTAAGTTCCCAAAGGGGTCAATCTTGGGAACTTGAGAGTAGTTTCTTAACTCTTTTAGTGCCATCTGCCAGGTAGGGTTTCCTTGATGAGGTGGCTTCTCTTGGAATCATCAGGGATGTTTCCCTTCTTGAATGATCTTCTTCTTTGCAGCAGGTATACTAATTAACTTTCCATTTACCAGTGGTCTCATTAATCTCCCTGATCAGGAGGTCATGTGGCCCAGAGTAGTAAAGCTCCTTGGAGAAGTTCTCTTATTCCCTGGGTTTAGGCTGACTCAGAAGATAAGAGCCAAACATTGGTTTTCTTGGCCCCTTTATTTAAGCTCAAGTTTTAAATCTTGATCTTAAACATCCAGCAAGCCAGCTCCACCAGTCTTAAAGTACAGAGTTTTAACCTTAATGTTTGTAACTTTACCCCTTATATTTACTTGGAGTCAGTATTAGTATTGGAAGTTAGCCTTATATTTTATCTGACCTCAGGTGATGGCTTATTATCTTAAATTAATCTAGGTTGTGTGTTTTTTAAGTAGTTCCTCTACAAAACATTAACAGGTAACAGTTATAAAGTTTACAAGGAAAATACAAAATGAAATTAAAAAGAGTAAGAACATGTTTGGCTTGTGTAATAGCTGTCTTGAACTTCAGCTGCCTTATGCATTATATACCTGTTTGAGATCACAGTAATCTTTAGAATACATTAAACTTCTACACATAACTGTAAATAAGCTGAAGGCCAGCCTGTTTTGGAGCCATTTTAACATGTAATAAGGTGGAAGGCAGAGCCTCATGTCAAGTAAGATGGGACTCTTGATAAATTTTAGGTAAAGTGGTCTAGTTTTGAACCTGATTTTTGCCTGTTTCTTAAATATAATTTTTACAAAGTTTACACATATTGGTTTTTGAGTCTATCTGGATGTTAGGTTATACAATATAACATTACATCTAAAACATGACTCAAAGGCTAAGAGAGCTTTTAACTCCCCTTTTGTGGGGATAAGTGGGAAAATGTTTTCATATTTTATAATATCACCTCCAAACAGATTAGGCTCTCCTTATTATCTTTTAAGCGTGCATTTAAATTCTAATTCCAGTGTGAAGAGTAAGACAAAATGGTATATATAACTTATTGATAATAGGTTAATTTATCCAGCTATGAAACATTAACTGAGACAAATAAATATTAACTCAGTTGGTTATTTGTACACAAATGTGAGATTCTTGCTACAGATAATTTCAGTTTGGAGAACACCAGTGTGGCAAAGTACTCTCTTAAGCTTTATATTTAACTAAGGTTAACTTTTAAAGTACAATTTAGGAAAGAATAGGAGAAGGAAGATGGCGGCGAGGGGAGTGCATTACCCCCGTGTGCTGCTTCACTGTGTGGGAGTATGACAAGTCAGGACGGCTAAAGGATATCTTGTTAGGAATTTCCAGCAATAGTGGGGTGCTCAGGAACCTGGAGGAAGGATTTCCATCGCACGAGGATCGGCTACGGGGACTCAAACGTGAGAGGTTTGTCGCACGGAAGGTAACACTGCTTATTCAGCAAATCGCCCTGCGGCTAGAGTCTGCAGCGCGCTGGGATAGAGACGCAGGGTTACAGTGCTGCAGTTTCTGCCAGCCGCGCAAGCACCGTACTCAGGGCTGAATTCTGGGTTCGAGACGGGGGAAGGAAGCGGTCCATCTCGGTTCTCCACACCGGTCAGACCACAGAGGAGGCCAGCAGCCACCATGTTGGTAAACTGACGTCACCTTCCCTGTTTTCGACTGACCGCAGCTCATTCAGCCATAGAACAGGTAATTTCAGGCTGCAATTCGCCTGCGGCTTGCAAACAGATTGCTAGGGTTCAGCGCCTGGGTGCTTCTTAGAATCTGATCTTATCGGAGCGAACACCGAGCGCGGGGCGGCCGAGTTCCGGCTCCCGGAACCGTCCCGGAACCGCCCTGGCTCAGGGCTGCGGAGCCTGCAGAGACTGCTTCTTGGACCCTGCTATTATCAGAGCATACACCAAGCACTAAGCAGCCGAATTCCGGCTCCCGGAACTGAGCCCGCGGGGACTGCTTCTTGGAGCTTACACTTATAGGAGCTTACACCGAGCACGGAGCGGCCGAGTTCCGGCTCCTGGAACTTCCCTGGAACGGAGCTAGGAGCCCGCGGAAACTGCGTCTCGGTCCGGGTCCTGCTGAGGGCCGGTCAGGACTCACCCGTTGCTTTGGTTGCCCAGCAAGGGGAACGAAATGCTGCCATTCGCATAGGATACCAACATGGCAGAGATCTGATGTCAGCAGAAAGCGGCGGAGGAGAGATCTTCATCAATACCAGCGGTGACATAAGCAGTTGGTCTCCTGGTAGGGGGGGTGAGGCACAGTCACCCGAGTCTCCTCAATTTGTCCTCGAGCCAGAGGGGAGGAGCCGGGCCGCCGCCAGCGCCCAGAGCAGGCCCAGCGGCTCGCCAGCGTGGTGACCGCGTGACCCCAATTGGAGAGGGGGCGGAGTGGAGCTGCCACCCACACCCGCCAGGTGGGCAGACCCGCAACCCAGTGGTACATGGGCGTGGTAGGAGGGGCAGGGCAGAGCCGCCCTTCGCGCTTGCAAGGTAAACAGACCTGTGACAGCTTGGTGGGTCAGGCCCAGTGGCCTGCCAGTGTGGTACACACGTCACCCCAACTGGAGTAGGGGCAGAGCAGATCCTTTACCCACGCCCGGATCAGGCCCTGCCGGTGTGGTGGTCACGTGACCCCAATTGGAGTGGGGGTGGAGCGGAACCGCCACCCGTGCCCGCAGGGTGAGCAGACCAGTGATCAACCTGCAGATCAGGCCCAGGGGTCCGCAGGCGTGGTAGGAGGGGCAGGGCAGATCCGCCGCCCGCGTCTCCAAGGTAGGCAGACCTACAACAGACCGGCGGATCAGGCCCAGGAGCCCGCCGGCGTGGTACAAACACCACCCTAATTGGAGTAGTGACAGAGCAGAGTCGCCTCCCTTGCCAGGAACAGGCCCAGCGTCCTGCAGGCGGGGTAGTCA